AAAGGAGGAGGAGCAAAGAATGACTGCAGAACCCTCAGGCGGGTGGGGCAGGGGCCTCCACCAGTCCAAGTTACAAGGCTTGAGAGCTGTGCAGCAAGCACCTCAGTCTGGATCCAGGTCCTTCCACCAGGCATCCATGCATAGTGTGGGTGCTGCTCCACCATCTGCAGTGGGTCTGCAGAGCTAAAGGCATGGCTCTTCGAGCTCTTGCAGCCCATAGAGTTACAGCCCTCAAGTTCACCTGGCATGCAGAGGACCTCCCAGGGTCAATGTCTCAGCGCCTGCTTCCTCTAAGTATCTTCTCTTAGATTCCAAGTGCTTCCTGTGGCCCAATTCTTGTGGGTCTCACTTGCAACCTTTGCATCCTTAGAATCTTTAGCAAGGTGACCCCACTCATTTGGAAATCTTCAAAAGGAACAAGAGGGACTCGAGACAGACTTGTTGATGTAATATTGAAAAGATGGTGTCGTGAAAACGCCCCTTCCTCCCAGAGCCCAGCATCCCACAGTCGCCAAGGATTCCTCTTCATGGGGTGAAAAGAGAAAGCCCACGATTGCATCTCATTGGTGAGATGAATAATACATTTGAAGCGTCTCCCCAACTGTGTTTGATCCGCCTAAAGCTTCAACTGTTAACGCATTTCTCTTTATCCCCAGCCAGGGAGGGCTGGGAACTGTCAACATTTTCCTTTCTGCCTAATTTGTGCCTTCTCCATCAAGAGGAAAGCAGAGGCTGGGGGAGGGAAGGAGGCAGGAAAGAGGGTGGCAACACACACTCCCTGGAACAATGCAGTGAGCCACAGGACCACGGTGCTCCCTTGGCCTGGAAACTCCTGGGCTCCCCAGGTCAGAGCAGGGGAGGGAGGCCCTGGGAAGGAGGCTAAGCTCGGGTGCTGGAGCTCTTCAGGGTCAGTTTGCAGGACTGTGTGCCCCTCAGAAGTCCATCCCTGGGAGGACCCATCTCTGGTGTTTCTGGTGGGAAGCCAGGGTTGGGAAGTTGAAGCTTGCCAGCTGTCACTCACAAAAGATGCTCCCTCTTCTCATGAGAAGCGGAGAATAACAACATTAAAAACTGCCACTGCCTGACCGGCTTGGCTCAGGGGTTGAGCGTCGACCTATGAACCAGGAGGTCAGGGTTCGATTCCTGGTCAGGGCACATGCCTGGGTTGCAGGCTCGATCCCCGGTATGGGGCGTGCAGGAGGCAGCCAATCAATGATTCTCTATCATCATTGATGTTTCTATCTCTCTCTTTCCTTTCCTCTCTGAAATCAATAAAAATATATTAAAAAACGAAACAACAACAACAACAACAAAAAACACCCTGCCACTGCCGGAGCTTAGGGGCCAGTATTTTAACCTACATGCATTCAGTCACTCTGAGCATTGCTCTGAGGGGTGATCTTAAGTTCTAAGGATCTTATCCAAGGTCACACTGCTAGTCAGTGTCTGGCTGTCTAGCCCCCAAGTTCACATTCTTAACCACAGAACTATTCTTCCTCTCGACTAGTCTCTGATACATTGTCAAACCGGTACCCTGTTCGGGGTGGGGAGGGGAGGGAGTAGAGAGAAGTGGGTAGGAGCACAGACTCTGGAGCTTGCGATCCTGGCCCCTCCCTCTCACAGTGCCTCAGTTTCCCCTTGTTTAAAATGGAGATGTTAACAGCCTCATAGGACTGTGGGTGAGGATTACATGAGTAAATACCCTCAGGTTCTCAGAGCTGGTGGCATAGGAAGCGTGTATGTATAGTCACTCTTTTTTTTTTTCCAGTTTATTTTACTCCACAGTCAAGTTGCAGCCACGCACTCCCAACTAACCTCGAACCTATTCCATCGTCCCTCTCGGGGCTTGCCCATGTCAGTCTCAATCCATCTTATTTCCCAGCCCCCTTCCCCTCTGCCCAGCCTGGCTTGGGGCTCCACTGTCAGACTCCCCCAGATCCTGGTGGCTCCCCGGTGCTCCCCAGAGTTCTGTTGACATGTATCGGATGTCACCTGGTCTTTTGCCTAATTCGAAGGTCCTCGCATTCCCATGGACCTCACCGATGTTCGTGTGTGTGTGTGTGTGTGTGTGTGTGTGTGTGTGTGTTAATCTTCTGCGGTGGCTGTCGTGGAGTGCCCATTCGCTAGGTAGCCAGCAGCACAGGTCTGCAGGAGGCAGAGCACAGAGAGAGGACTTTCCCGGGAGGGAGCCGAGCAGACAGTTCCCCCTGGGGAAGGAACAAGGGTGGGAGGGTTGAGAGCGATTTTCCTAATGATGAACAGTGTGTTCCCACCCTGAGCCATTCATTCCTGTACTTTCCAAGCTTTGTCCCTCCCCGAGGGGAAGCAGCAGTTGTGTCCACTCTCAACCCCTCCAGCTGCCGCAGGGAACTGGGACTTGGGCAGAGGAGTAAACGCTTAAGAAATCTCAAAGGTGGGGCAGGAGGAAGGAGTCTGATGAAGCAAGGACTAAAAACTAGATTTGAAGCTGAGTGGTGACATCGAGGGCTGGGGGGAACCGGGACCTCTCCCTACGGGGCAAGGCGAGCCCTGTGGGTCCCAGCAGCCTGGCCTGCGTGCCCGCCCGGTGCCCCAGAGCCCTTCTGTGTAGGCTTGGCATCCCACGGAGGTGGCATTCTGCTCAGCAACTCAGAGCGCAGATGGGAGGGCGGGCATTGCGGCGAATCGATTTGCAGGAGCAGCGGGGGCTTTCTCTTCCTCCTTACTTCCCTGGTCTTTGATCTCCTGTCCTTCCTCCAAAGTCCTCTTCCCCCGCTTCTTCCCTTGATCTCTCCCTCTTTCTCTCCCTTCAGCCAAACCACAGCAGCTCTCTGGAAGGCCTGGGGTGTGTGTGGAGGTGAGGGTGTGGGGAGGCAGTTCTTTGTCCTCTTCCTACCTTTGACTGGCGGAGCCTCACTGCCCAAGGTACCAGCCTCCTACCCAAGTCCTGAGAGGCAGGGTTTGGCTACAGTGAAAGGACACACTCACTTGAAAAGCAAGAGCTGAACCAGAGAAACCAGGGAAGAGAGGGAGAGGCAGAGAGAGAAAGACTGAGACAAGATCCAGAGCATCAGAAAGAGAGTGAAAGAGATGCAGAGAGTCAGGGACAACGGAAAAAAAGAGAATTCAGCAAATTAAAAATTTTACAACCATCCGGCAAGTCTGCAAAAATGATCTTCCCTGCGGTCTTTCATTTATCTCATTATCTGACTCCTAATGTGCTTTTTCCCCCCTTTCTTTTCTCGCCACACTTGGTGCAAAATCTTATTAGCTTTTTTTTTTTTTTTTATCTGGCAGGGGCTTCATATAGTCTTTTTCATTACATTTCCTAATAAAAGCAATCACTAGGACGGCACGGCTGGAGGATTAAAAAGCCACCTCAGCAGCCTCCTGGCCAGCAGAGCCGCCACTTGCTGTGGCCTCGTTCAGGCTGCCAGGGGAGCGGGCCAGCCCCAGCGGGCCAGGTCAGGCCGGCCCAGCTGTGGTGTGCAATGTTCCAGGGCTGGGAGAGGCCTCACAGCAGCAACAAAGCTGCATGGCGTTATGTAGATGTGAGCACAGAAGCCCTGCCCAGAGCTTTTCTCGAAGCAGGTGTGACGGCCAAAAGTGGTATTTTGGGCCTTGGCCCACCACAGCACCTTCTTTTGAATAACATCAGGGATATCAAGTCTTCGCTTTTTGAGAATAGATTTGCTTGTGCTGGCCACACCGTTATTTCACTGTGGTAAAATTCACATCATAGAACATTTACAATTTTCATCATTTTAAGTGTAAGTGTAGTGGCATGAAGTACATTCACATTGCCGTGCAACCACAACCACCATCCTCGCCAGAACTTTTTCATCATCCCAGACTGAACTCTGCACCCATTAAACAGTAACTGCCCCCTCCACGTCCCCTCCTCCAGCCCCTGGCCACCACTATTCTAATTTCTGTTTCTATGAATTTGACTACTCTACGTATCTCAAATAAGTGGACTCATACAGTATTTACCCTTTTGTGTCTGGCCTATTTTACTTAGCATAGTGTCTTTGAGGTTCATTCACGTTGCATCATGCATTAGAATTTCATTAGTTGTTTTTTTGTGTGTGTGTTTGTATGTTTGTTAATTCTCACTGGAGGATATTTTTCCATTGATTTTTAGAGAGTGGAAGGGAGGGGGAGAGACAGGGAGAGAGACACATCGATGTGAGAGAGAAACATCAATGTGAGAGAGACACATGGATCGGCTGCCTCTCACACGTGCCTTGACTGGAATTGACACCAGGACCCTTCAGTCTGCGTGCCGATGCTCTGTCCGCTGAGCCAACCGGCCAGGGCTCATTCGCTTTTAAGGCTGAATAATATTCCATTGCATGGGTACACTGCATTTTCTTTATTGCACACTTTTTATTTATTTATTTATTTATTTT